AGACAGTAGTAAGTGTCCTCAGAATTCAAGTGTCTGGCATCCCTATCCTAGCATTACCAGATACTGAATGACTTTTGATTTAAAAAAAAAAAAAAAAAAAAAAAAAAAAAACTTTCTCTACGTGTGCCTCAGTTACCCAGACTGGAAAGATATCGACCTCACCAGGTCAATGTGAAGTTAAATGAGATAAAACATATCAAGACACATACTATATGAGTATACATGATTATTATAAAGCTTTAATGATTAGTAATTGCTGACAACTATTGAACATTTATTATCTGCCAGATAATGTTCTAAATGAGGTATTAATTATGACCTCATTAATAGTAAAGAGACCCTGAAGCCCAAAAACTTCCTTTGGCTCTAGAATCTAGTGATGCTCTGAGCATTCTAGATAACTATGCAATTATGAGAATATGTGGAAAGATTAAACTGTGTTAATTTGTAATTCCAACAACTGTGAGAAGATTCAAAACTAGTCTAAGCAAAAAAAAAAAAAAAAACCTAAAAAAGAAAAATTAGAGCATTGGAATATACAAACATGAAAAAAAACCTTTAACTATATCAACTAGAGATAAATAATTTTGAATATTATTTCTTAACAGAATTATTTCTTAGCTTACACTTTTAAAAATGTGATATCTATCATATTTGTGGCACTGGGGACCAAACCCACAACATTTTATATGCTATGGAAGACGTCTACCACCAAGCTACATCCTCAGCATTATTTATTTAGATGATACTAGTTTTTTAAGTTGAGCTGCAATTTTTGTTATTATTTAAGTATTAAAAATGAGCTCTCAAACTATAATTAAAGCATAAATGAGCGCTCAAACACAATGTGTTAATGTAAAATGTCAAGAGGAATTTTTTATTTTCTTTATTTTTTTAGACAAGGTCCTAATAAGTACCTTAGATTGGCCTGAGACTCCTGCTCCTCCTGTATCTTGCTCCAAATGTTCTGATTACAGGTGGGGACCACAATGTCAGACTTGGGAAAGGAATGTAAAATATTTATGTGTATATTTACTTTTATATTATATATGAGTGCTTGTCTGTCCGTATGTATTTATGTGCACCATGTGCTTTCCTGTTGCCTGACATTGCCAATAGAGCGTTCATTGTATTCCTTGGAACTGGAGTTACACACAGTTATGAGCTAGAATATGAACCCAGTCCTCTGAGGGTAGAATATACTCTTAACCACTGAACCACCACTTAAATCTCCCAAGTAGTACTTCTTTCAGACTCTTAAATAACAACAAAACTTTTGAATAACAGATAAAATTAAAATGCTGAATTATTAAGAAATTCATGAAAGAAGAAATAAATATATTTAATTCTAAACTATTATTTATAATGATATCTGGCATAAGTTCAAAAGGCAAATAAGAAAATAGAAGATGCTTTGATTGGAAAAAGTTTTCAAGAAAAGGAAATTTCCAGTTTTAATAAGATTAAGGTTGCATCTCTGTGGTGGATCACTTGGTTAGCCCGTGTAAGGCTCTGAGTTTGATACCCAAAATTAAAAAGCAAATGTGAGTGGAAAATAATGCCAAAAAGTGTTGAATTTAAAAATCTAAAACAGAATCAGTTAACAAAATCATAGATATAAATAGCTACTATAAATCCAAAAAGATAGTGTGTTAGCAACTCAAAATGTGAATTAAAGATCTCAAATTCTCTGGTCTCACCAGATCCATCCAGCATAAGTATTCATACTTTGTAATACCATTGAGAATGTAAGGTGATTCTCAGTTGTATACTAAAGGTTCGTGGAACAGATGGTGTTTCTGTATTAGCCATATTGTAGAACTATTTTTCTATATGCTGGTGTGTCCTTCATTGACTAAATGCCTGCATATTTCCCAAGCAAACTCATCCATCTACAAAGGTAGGTCTTTCTGAGCCACGAATGTGCTTCTTATCTATCCAATAGCACTGGTGAGTAAGACAACTCTCAGAAATGTAAACTCACAAGCTGGTAGGGGTTCCCTTTGCCTAGTTGAAAACATAAGCTATAGGACAGCTAATCAAACTAGGCTATTCTGTTGAGTAAAGCAACAACAAGAGGCAGAGGGAAATAGATAGGAGATTCTGAGAGATGCCAATGGCTTTCTATTTCTTTTTAAAGCTTTCCACATGTCCTAACTTCCTTTGTAAATTAATCTCTTCATGATATTTGAAACAAAATTATGTCATTACTTAAAATTTTTGCTAACTTTTTAAAACATTAAGTGTTCATAAACTTAAATGCAATAATCCTACTTCTTAGAAATCTATCTTACCTTTGGACATTCTAAAAGTATAACAGGGAAAAACATTTTGAGAAAACATGTTGATTACATTATTGTTTACTAAGGTGAAAAACAGAAAACAATGCAAAGGGAAAACTCTAAAAAATGGTAAAATTTAACATCTCTATAAAAGTCAATTTTGATTCTGAGGAAATGACTCAGTGATAAAAACCAGGAATGGCATCATACCCTTGTACTTACAGAACTAAGAAATGGGGACAGAGACATGAGGATCTCAGCAGTTGCTGACTAGCCATTGTAGCAAATCCATGAACTCCAGGTCTCTCTTCAGTGACAGAAGAATATTCTGTCTTGAAAAATAATGTGAAGAGAAACTGAGGAAGATACCCAATGTTAGCCACTTAAAATGTGACTTAAAGATCTCAAATTCTATGGTCTCACGCAGCATAAACATTCATTCTTTGTAATACCATTGAGAATGCAAGGCAATTCTCAGCTGAACAATGATATTAAAACGATTAAGGTTCATTTTTTTAAAACTCTGATAACTGTATTATCACTTAGTATAATCTTTTAGATGCATCATTTCCCCTCAAAAATCGTTTTAAATTTTCTCAGTGTAGTCGCCCTATAAGCCCATTCAACCATCCTTGCCTTTTTCACATCTGGAAAGAATGAATATTATCCAAATTCTGAAAGACTGTAAGAAATTATTTTGATTACCAAAAGCTTTCTCCAATTAGAGAAGACTAATTGTGCTTTAAATCCAGACTGAGAAATATGACATTTTTAAAAACAGTATTTTTCAGGCAATATCTAATATTAGGCACTTTAATACATTTTTGTTCAAGATATCTACTGATTACTGATTACCAACATGTCCATGATGCTTGAAGTTGTAGTGATGTCAATATTAATAAATTTAGCATGAGGCAATCAATTCTAAGTTATCTCAAAACACACCATAGTAAAAAAATTCCGATACTGATGCAGTGTGGCCCTCATTTCAGTACTGCCAAATACCTGCTTTTACTTCTATTTTCTATGTTACTCTTGTTTACATTCTCTCAGTAGTAGTGAGTTCACTCATTGCTGTGGTCTGGATATGAAATGGCCCCATAGACTGGGTTCTTAACTAGGGTGTTGTTTTGGGAGGTGATGGAAATTTTAGGAAGTGAGGCCTGGTTGGAGGAAGTGGGCCTTTTGCAGTGTGCCTTAGAAGAGCTCCTTAGAGCCTGGCCTTTCGGATTTGTCCCTCTCTTATCTTTTTCAGTTAGTGTCTGCCATGCTCCAGCACATGCTCTGACCCCAGCAGCATTCTGCTTAACCTCTGTCCAGGCAACAGAGCCAGCTGACCATGGACTGAAACCTCTGAGCAGACGTTCTTTATAAAAATTGTTCCCTTCGGGTGTATGTCACAGTGACTAAAAATCCAACATACCATTCATATACAGAAATCGTCAGAATTAAAATCTCTTGAGGCTGATGTTTCTGTTGGAATTGATTGCGCATGTGTTTCCTTCTCATAATATGTCAGTATATCTTGTGTGTGAAGTTTGTATCCAGTACTAACATTGTTACCTCAACATCTTTAGTAGAATTGCCCAAATCCTAGCCTGTGGCTCAGAGTAGCTTGTCAGGGGGGCATGGTACATTATGTATGGAGAAGAAGGTCTAATTGATATAACTGTAGAAAAATGTCACTGAAATTCTGTCAGTACCTAGGAAGAACTGTTAGTTCTTAATGAGTACATTGAAATCAAGGGAAATATGGTATCACTCCTGCTTGTCTTCCCAGCACATTATTATGTATATTAAAATCTTCCCACTGTGTACTTACAGGAAAACTTTGAATAGTTTTCATTTTTTTTCCAAAAAACATGCACTGTTGAATTTAAACTCAACAGCACATGCATTGTCATATTCCATCTCACATGCTGTCCTAAGTGTCAACTTAAACATTTCATTTCTTTAACAATCGTTTCTTTTATTGTGTGTGTTTTCATGATGTGTATGTGTGGGCTCACATGCCCTGGCATTCAGGTGGAGGGCAGAGGACAGTTTGTGGAGTCAGTTCTCTCCTCTCACCCTTCAACAGGTTCCGGGTACAGAACTCAGGTCATCAGGCTTGTGTGGCCAGTACTTGACCACTGAGCCATCTCACAAGCCCTTAAATACTCCATTTCTTAAAATTATATAGTATACATTTCCCCAGTGTAATACTACATTGAATGTAACTTAAGAAGTCAGCAAAAAGGAAAACATCTCATATTTAAAACTTTCAGTATATTAGAAACCAAAAGACACCTAGTTTTCAATTCATTGTCACTTATATTACTTTGAGTAATATATATAATATATATATTTTTCAAATAATATATATATAATATTTCAAAGTTTCTGATTCTTCCCCAAAGGTCTCATTTATTAAAGATGGCAAATAAAGTTTCTGTTTTTGCCTTCTCCTCAATTTGTACCCCACAACCAGGTTCCTCCTTGGGCACCGATAATATTTGGGTTAGAAAGACAGTTCGAGTTGACAAAGCAACACTACTGGGGGAAAAAAAAAACTATTAACATGTATAAATGGATTTCCTCACAGTATAAATACTAGCCTGCACCCTCCTGGTGCCTCAGAGCCTTCCTGATGTATATATGCAGGTAGCGAGAAGTGAATCGGCCCTTTGATGATACGGTAATATAATAAAAGTGATCTGGCAAGCAGCGGGTCTTATTTTCTACTCTCTTGTGGGAATGAGTTGCCAATCTTTCACTTCAGCTGATACCTTTATACCTCTGAGTTCTGATGCCTCTGCAACTCTGCCTCTGATAATGCACCACAGTGCTGCTGAGTGTCTCCCAGTCTCCAACCATGCCACCAACGTGATGTCTACAGGTACTGATTTCCATGGCCGGGCCTACAGCTTTCAGAATGGATGTGGTGAAATCTTTTCAGTTGAATAATCTCTTTGTTCCGTTTCCCTCCTTTGATTTGCTTTAGTTAAATATTCAGGATATTGTAAAAGTCCAGTTGCGTGAGAATTAAAAAAAAATAGTAATTGAAATCATTTATCTATTTATTGGTTTTGCTTTGCAATCCAGAACTATTTTCTACATAAGGAAATAGTGAGCTTGAGTATTTTTCATTGTGAAAACTCTTTTAGTAGAGATGTTTATGGATGTTTATGTATAAAGATCAAAATGAAATATTCTGAAATAGTTAATGTTAAATAGGCACTACTACTTTATATTAAAAATGTATTTCATTTTTGAATTATATTTGTTACTACCTTTAAACAAACATAAACCTTATAAAAATAAACCAAAAAATTCCCAACACAAACCATTCATGAAAGTGAGCTTTAATGAATAAAATAATTAAATGCTTTATTAAACTCGCATTAAAATACATAACATTAAACTTAGAGAAGAAAGCAAGATAGCATTTAGAGTTGAGAGATTTAAGCTTCCTTAAGACTGAGTTTTAGAAATAACTTAAAATTTGTCTTTACTTAACATTCCTAAATGAAAATGGGGATCAAAACATGTTATCTAGGTACAAGCAAATGTATGTTCTTTGCTAATATATTTGCACTTAATGCAATAACAATTGGTCTCAAAGTCAGTTTACAGATGGCTGGAGTCTTGGACTAACAATTTCTTCCACGAAACAGCAATCTGGATTCATCTTTCATCTGTTTAAAATGTAATTGACTCACATGGAGAAATGAAACAAAATTTTATATTTGTAGAAATAAAAGTTTGGGCTTATTTTATAATTTAAAACAATTAAACAACTTTTTATGATAATTAGGCAGTTTCTAAACATAAGTGAAGCTTTCTCATTCATCTTTGGCTGGTTCTAAATAATGAAGTGATAAGATATACAGACTCTACCAACATCACTTAATCTACTAAAGATTCCCATAGTTTAATTTAAAGGTAATTTTGAGAATGTACTGAAACATATTTGATGGAAAATATAATAATAAAGTAATTTAACCCTATAATAATCCCATAAATAATCCCCAAAATAATCTAGAGGGTTATAATACAACCATACTTTTAAAACAGCACATTTTATAAATTGAGAATTAGAAAAATTTGATCAGTAAGAAAGTAAAATTTAAGATTAAAATAATGATGTAGCAAAATAATGTAGCTTTTAAGTTCTGTTGATTTATTTAAAAATACATAACAAAGCATTTAACCTATCTTTTATCTAACTTCCTAAAATCAAAAAACAAGTATAGCTCTTATAAATAAAAATAATTTCTAAAAGTTTCCTTTAATTATTTTTAAATGATTTATAATTTTCTATAAACTTTTAGTTATATATACATCTAATTAAGTAAGGAATTGCAAACATATATTTTAATGAAAGCCCTTTGGCATTAAATACAGTTAAAATTCATTCAATGTTTTAAAATGAATACTAAAATTGCTCTATATAACTTATATGGGAAAATTACTTCATGCTCTCTATATCAGTCACAGAGTAGAAACATATGCAGATATTTACAATATTGTTCTATATTTAGACAAAATGTATTTATTCTATAAAAAGATCTCATGTCATTATTATATCATGTACTTCCAATTATATATTCTATATGTCATTTATTTGAAAAAAATTATGTTTATTATAATTACCTAATTACTGAATTATTATAATATGTTATATTATAAGTTATATTTAGGATATGAGAGAAAAATGAGGAAGTAAATACATAGGGAAACTTTTACTGCTAATTTTATTGTTGAAAGTCCTGCTGTTAAAATGTTGATTTGTGTTTAAAACTTAACTTATGTTTTATAGTTTATATCTTATTTCTAAATGCACAATAATTTGAGGAAGTATACATGTATGCATGGAATTATGTGTGTGTACACAACCTTCAGCAATAAAGGAACTTATTTTTTGATTGGCTTTATCATTAAAATTTTTCTATCAATGTCATGCATGCAGAAAACCTGCAAGTCCAACATAATTGGACTAAACACTATCGCAGGGTTCTCATAAAACCCTGAAAACAGCAGTATTTTTATGATTGTATCTATACAAGGGAATACTTACTCTGGCATTTTCTCTTTAGTAAAAGGAACAGCAAATTTATCAGCTATGATTCTTCAAGAGTCTATTTAGGTATTCGCTCTTCCGGAGACACCTTTCTTACAATACTGTGCTACACAATGACGTTCAGACTACTTTTCAATGGCTGTAGTGTGATATCTACACTGGATGGAACCCGCAAGAATTGTACAAATCTCAAAAAGCTGGGGTCCAATCTCCTCTCACTTCACTTCATGAGATACTTGTAGCCACATCATAGACCGTACAAGTCTAGTTTGATGACATAGGATCTCATCACTTGAGACAACCTTTGGCTGATTTTATCTGCTCATTAGAAAACTGCCAGTGAGGAAGAAAGAACATATTGGCTTATGATTTAAGAATCGCATAAATGTGTAATTTTTGAAATGAGTTGAATGTGTCTTGAATCCTCATACATTTTCTTACCAGTCCCGTCTATTTTGTCTTTGATCCAAACTCCTAAATGTTTGCACACGTATTTCTCGATGACAACTCTGGGAAATACAGCGACAGGACTTCATTATTCTGTGCCTTCCTGTCATTATGGAAACCAGCCATCCACCTATGGAGTGATGGCAGGTAAGAAAAAAATGTCTTCATATGTGGTGTTGAATGGGGGAAAACGGTGTTGGATTTCCTGGACCAGAGGGAATGGTGAAAGAGTATAACATGAAGTTCCGATTTTCCCTCTTTTGGCTTGGAAGTTAGTGGTAGATCCGTCACTTGCAGAAGTGTCCCCTGACCAGAAACCTAGAGGTGGGCCTCATGGCCCTGTCCTACACAGCTCTATACTTCAGTGTTTCTGTCTCTTGAATGAGCTTTGTACGGTTTTGCTATCATTTGTTTGCTTTTTTAATTTACTACTGCCAAACTGCTAGATGCTACTTGTTATTATTGCCTTTGTGGGATTCCCTGCAGCTATGCTGTACCGGCAAGTAGAACCCATGTGGTTACTTCAATTTAAGTGAAAGTTAATTAAAATAAGAATTGGAAATTCAGTTTCTCTGCTAAGTCGGCTCCATTTCCAGTGGCCAGTACTCTCGTTTGTCTAGTGGCTACTCCATCAGACACCACGATTTACGGAGCATCGCCTTCGCCACAGCACTGCTTCTGTGTACCTGTTCCAGAAAAATAAATAGGAGATACAAACTGAAGGCCCAGCTTGATGTTCTGGGACTTTAGCCATGGCTATTTCAGGCTGTGGTGGTCCTCCCTAGGTTGCTTCAGAAGCTTGACTGAGGTAGGTGAAGAGGCACACTTTTCAGGAGACGTGAAGCATCCCTCTTTCAAGTATAATGCCAACTCACTGGTATCGGCGTAAGTATGTCAATAGCTTGGCTTCCTGGAAATGAGAACACCTGCCCTAAGAGATCCACTCACCACCAAATTCACTACTTAATTTTGGGGGCATGACTAAAGAAAATAATTTAGTCAGTTTAAAGACTGTGGATCGTTGTTCACAGATTTTTATTTGTGAGTTTGTTCTGAAGGAAATACTTTGGTAAGTCAATATTTGTTATTACAGCAGGTAAGTAATTCTCGTTGGGGGTAAACAAGAACCAGCAGTAAAAAGAGTGGGGAGGAGAAAGAGATAGAAAGACTGCGGAAATTTGGGATAAAGGAATCAAATATGAAGGAAATCTTTTGAAATTTACTCATGTTTTTCCTCCAAGTAAGCAATTATACACGGAGAAACACAGAGATGTGCTGAGAATATTGAAATGAAATGAAACAAATAATTTAGTTCATTAATCTCTAATTTCTCAGTAAAACGTTAAGATTTTCAAATAAAACAGTGAGAATATCAGTCTTTCTACATTTGGCCAATCATCATTATATATCCACATCTTAACCATTATGGTAAAATGAAGTCTGGTAATTTTTTTAAAAAATATTTTATTTAATTTTAAATTTTAGTCATTTTCTTTCCCCTTTTTAAGCTCCCCTTCACCCCCCTATCCACCTACTTCAAATAGTTGTGTTCTTAATGATTGCCTAGAAACCTTGGTTTTTCTTTGTTTAAAAAAATTATTTTTATTATTTGTATGGACGCTTCGTTTGCATGTATGTCTGTGTATCATTTTCATGCATTGTTCACAGAAGCCATAAAAGGCTATCGGATGCCCTGGGACTGGAATTATAAACAGTTGTAAGCCACCATGTGGGAGCTGGGAATCAAATGCAGGCTCGCTAGAAAAGCAGCCAGTGCTCTTAACCCCAGAGCTGTCTCTCCAACCTGGTTTTACGTTTCAATAATTAAGGGGTATCTAACATGAGGGCTTTTTCCATCCCTTGTAAAAATCCATCACTTATAAACCATCTCCTTAATCAGTATTCGTAAACAACAAGAACAGCTTTCCCCAAATTCCACGATATTTGCTGTGGAATAGCAGAATATGTTCCATTATCTGTCAGAGTGGAGGTAGAATGCTTTCTTTGGCTTTCATGGGACCTCGAGGAGCTAAACAGAAAGCAACAAGCCTGTGGTCACATGCTGCTCTCTGCTGGAGGAAAGCTCTGTCACAGTGATTTCCAGGAATCCCTGTGCAACCTCAGTTCCCGTATTTCCTCAAAAAGAGGAGGAGGTTTGTGCCCTTTGACTTGAGTTAGTGTGGAAACCAAACCAACCAACATATACACACATTCACATTCACATACATGTATACACTTAGACACACACACACACACACACACACACACACACACACACACACACACACACACACACACCAGTCACAGACCTTACAGACCAGTGGCTAATCAGCTCTTGTCCTAATTCCTCTGGGTACCACCTCCCTTGTGCTGAAGAAAGTGGCCCACAGTTATATAGTTTATAGCTAGCCCCGGAGTCCGATAATGTAGCCTGCACTCACACTGGGGCAGCAGGCCAGGGTCCCGTCGAGAGGCAGTTGACTGCTCTCTCCACACCCTCTTTCCCATTCAGCTGTTTTTTTTCCCTTTCTTTCTTTTTCTTCTTCTTCTTTTTTTTTCCATCTCAACATAGTCACAGGAAAGGGCCTGTGAAAAAGACTTTCACCATCCCCAAAGTCTGGTTTAGTGACATCATGAACACAATTGTCATACCAAGATTTAGAGGTATCATTGTAGCCTTCAAGTTGAATTATATTTTGTCACTAAAATGAAGCCTCACCATGGTGCACAGAGGCTGTATTTGAATATTTCTGAGAGAGATGTCATTAAAATATTATATACTTCATAATTTGTCAGAACGCCTGGTTCTTGACATGTATTCAGCATCAGCATGCACTTCATTGCAGATTAAATCTTACACAATCTGAATTTTCCTACGTTCATTCCCAGGGAAGCTGCACAAATTGAGTCATAAAATACAGCCATTCAAAAATGAGGAAGGCAAGGTATAAAACAGATGGTAGAAACCCAGTCGGGTCGTTTGAATTTTCTGAAATGTCAGCCACTCCCTCAAGGTCCACAGAAGCATCTTTATGGGCAGATTTGGTGTTGTTTAATCTATGAGGGGACCACTACTGGAATAACTGTTTCAAAGGGTGTGGAAAATTTTAATATGGCTATTACACCACCCAAACTCTGATGATTTCGTTTTAGTATTTTGTTAAATTAGTTCACAGGAAGGGAAGAGATACAGTGACTTTTGTCAGGTTGGTGAGGAGGATTTAAATCCTCAGATGAATTCCCTGTAACAGTCCAGGCACCAGCAAACTAAAGAGAATGACTGGCTGGGCTGGAAACAGCAAAAAGCATCACCATGAACTAATGAGACCTCTCTACCAGGTCCCTGTCGAAGCAGGTCTGTGATAACTCAACATTCTTCTCTTTGCCCTCCTCGGATAGGCATGTGGTCATTTACTTCTTCCTGTCTACCCCTTAGTATTTAGCTCTAACGTCAGCAGTCCACAGTCCAAACCACACGAGGGAATTACAAATGTTCTTCACAACCTCTGCTAGAAGATCCCGAGCCGAGCACACTGCCGGCAAGGAATGCTCAGCACTCCGGCTCCTGAGTCTCTTGGGCTGCTTTGCTTCTCAGCTTCTAAAGCAGAGTGAAGTTTAGGAGGCAAGCATGGAGGCTGTTCTGTCCACCATCCCATGGTAACTCGGCCCACCAGCCTCATGGCAAAGAACAAGGACCCAGCTGGGCATGGGACATAGCAGCTAATCCTCGAGGTAGAGGGAGAGTTCTTATTGGAAAAGTCCATGTTACGCGGAAAGGAAAAGAAAAAGGTTTCTGTTTGGGAATGAAACAGAGCCATAGAAATCCCTTCATTCATTCCTTTTGTTTTTCCCTTTAACTTCTTGCCTTTTGTTTTTCCTTCCTTCCTCCCTCCCTTCTCCTTTCTCTCTTCTGGGTCACCCTTCCCGTTTTCCTTTTCTTTGGTCCCAGGTTGGTAGGGTTGTCTAGGGAAGAATCACTCTGAAGATGTCTGGCTTTTCCCCAGTAAAGGCCTTCCAGCAGCATTGTGGTAACTGCCTTCTAGATGGTTCACAGCCGTCTTCTGTAAGGAGCTGGACTGTAAACACCCTGCACTTCCTCTGCTTCAGCTACCTTCACTGTTCTTGGAGAGAAGTTCTGAGCTGTGTGGAAACACAGGGACATGGGTGTGTTCCAATTAGACTTATTTTGTCAAACAATGAACCCATGTCTGGCTCAGACAGTATGTTGAGTCCTCAAAGAAAGGGAAAAAAAAAATCAAACTTGAGCATATGATGTGCTTGTCCTGTGTTTGTGAAAAGGAAAGAATAAGTAGAAATATTTCAGTATGTGTTCTTGCACACAGTTATGGTGCAGGCATGGATTCCCATGTCCTTCTGTTATCCTTATTTGTTCTTTTAAGGCCACAGGTTTTTAACCTGAGATGCTCACAGCTAGCCACATACAGGGGAGCAATTTACCCCAACGCATGAAGGGCTGAGTCAACAGCTTACAAGGCAATCTCTACTTCTGTCCCCCCGTGCCTGCTTTGAAAGATTTACCTGTCTTCAGCCATGTCTACCAAGCAGAAAGACACACAGAACAATTCAGAGAGGCCAAGATGGATCAGTGTGCACTGTGAAAAACTGAGCGTGGAGAGGGTTCCATTATTTCCAAGCTTTCACAGGGGTCCTTGTCCAGGCTAATGACGGTATTGCTTTACCCTAGTTTTGAGAAACATTTTTGAGATTTCTGCTGCCTGGGCTCACTGTGTTCTTCAGTAATCCGGGCTTGAAAAGTTTTGAAAAATAGTTTGCTACACATACCATACCACCACTCCCCACGCTCCACGGAGTGAGTCATAGGCTAGGAGCAGAATTCTGTCTGATTGTGATGGTTACTGCTAGAGTGAATTGTTAAGGAAGGCAAGTTCTATCAAAATGATGATCCAATGGATATAATTGTGGAAACTTTATGTAATATTTTTCATTACACAATGAGAAATATGTTCTGTGTTATACCACATGTCCCATTCTCACTCTCACTGTGGTTACTAAACCATTCCTTGCTCATTTTTCATGGACTCCATTCAAATACCTTTTCTAGATGTCCGTTTTCTGCAAGTGTTTGTAATAAGTAAATGACCCTTGAATTTGCCTGAAGTGACACACTGCTAATGCACTTTTTAAATCATTAAAGTTTTGCCTGAAAGAGATTGTGTAGAGGCAAGCAAATGTGTTTAGAGTTAGGGAAACTTTGAAAGAAAGTTGTTTGATTTACCCAAGTACAGACTGGAGAATAAAGTAGCATTTTTTTTCTAAGTTAGTGGAATGTGGTTCTTGTGACCTCTGCGTAGTTAACACAGCTACTAATCTGCAGGGGAGTTACTGATTTCTTTACACAGAGACTGGATAATTCATAAAAGCAGCATGCATTGAAAAAAACAAAACCAAAACCGAATAGTTTCTCTCTTGGGTTGAAGAGATGGCTCGGTGGTTAATAGCATTTGCTGTTCTTGCAAAGGACAGAAGTGTGGTTCCCAGCATCTACATGGTGGTTCACAGTCGTCTCTAACCCCAGTTTTAGGGGAGCTGACATCCTCTTCTGACCTCCACAGGCACCAGGTATACATGTGGTACCTGTAAACATTCATACAAGTAAACATTCATACACACAAAACAATTAAATAAACCAAAAAAGAAAAATATTTTTTAAATCTTTATCACACCTGGGGAGTAGCTGAATTTATTTCATGCTAATCTTTTTTTTTTTTTTTTTTTTTTCCGAGACAGGGTTTCTCTGTTTCTCTGTGTAGCTTTGCACCTTTCCTGGAACTTGCTTTGTAGACCAGGCTGGCCTCGAACTCACAGAGATCCACCTGCCTCTGCCTCCCAAGTGCTGGGATTAAAGGCGTGCACCACCACCGCCCAGCTCATGCTAATAATTTAACCTCTCAGAACTTATATGCCTAATTTTCATTAGAAAAATAATATATTCTATATACTGAATAAAGCTGAGCTTTATTATGATATATTCTTATATAAATAATATAAGCTGAAAACTTGCTGACTTATACTACTATTGCTTATTAAATATTCATATATTATTGGAAGATATACGTATTATATTATTACTAATTTCTTTAACTCATGAATGCAGTTGTGGCGTATTGATAGATTTTTAATGTTTGTTTCTGAGAATAATTACTGTATGTAATATATGAAACTTGTGTTTAAGTGTTTATTTATACTGGTGAGGCTGATCAATTATTCAATACTTGGTTATAATATAATATAAGCAGAAGTGAAATCTCCAATAATAAAAATGTAATTTGTCAATGAAGAAAAAGTGAAACAAAATATATTGAAAATTTCCTCCTGTGCCATCTTGTCACTTAGGATCCTGAACTGAGGCAGAAGTGAACACCGAAATCTGTAAACTTTCCAGAACGTTCTTCCTCTCGGGTATATGATCAATGCAGGCAGGCCAGCACTGCATCCTCTCGGAGAATTCCCTGTCGTGTCTAGAACTATCCCCTCGTTTGCATTTTATTTTAGGTTGTCTTTAAATAATTATAAAAAAAGAAACAGATTCCACTGTGTTGTTTACTTTTCAAAAAAGCTTCTCACCACACTTTCATAGAAGCTCTAAACTTACCTTTTGTTTCTCTGGCTCATTAAATCAACTTAACTACATTTATGTGTTTTAATCTAAGTTTTATCTGTCTTAATCAAATTTAAAACATGCTTACTTTTTAATGGAAGTTAAGCATTTACCATCAAAGCAGTAGTTTTTATAGTACTGTAAGCTTAATTTTCCAATTACAAGAATTTCTCAGTATAGCGTAGAGTCTAAATACTTCATGCTTTGGTTATAGCAAATACTACAGGCCACTTTTTAAATTAATTAAGAAGACAGAGATTAATGCATGCAATCTGGTTAGAATTGAGCCTCAGACTCTCAGGAATACACATCTTTTTACAAGGAACACCGGAATCTTACACCCCGAGAAAGAACTAGAAAATAATTTAGATATTTAAACTTGTCTCCTGCTCCTTTGACATTGACTTTGGTTTTGTTCTTCTGGGGAAGGTGGGAGGTGAATCATCTCATACCAACTAACAGCCCACTCTGGGTCCTGCTTTAGCACATTGAACATATGGGAAGGTGTAAAAGTTAAGATTGAGTCAATGTGGCATTCCACATAATCCAAGCATCTGGGAGGCCAAGGTGGCAGGATTGTGCAAGCTCAGGGGCAGCCTGGGCTGTACTACGAAGTCCTGCACTGAAAACCAACTGGGAGTTTTTATGGACAACAGTGGGTTCTAACAGAGAATGGTGCTTGTAGAGAAACAGACGTCATTACCAACAGTCCTTTCCTCTCTCTTTCTCCACAGGCAGTTTAACCCCTTGTCTTTACAAGTTTCCAGATCACACCTTGAGTCATGGGTTTCCTCCCCTGCACCAGCCTCTCCTGGCGGAGGACCCCACAGCCTCTGAATTCAAGCAGGAACTCAGGCGGAAAAGTAAATTGGTTGAAGAGCCAATAGACATGGATTCCCCAGAAATCCGAGAACTTGAGCAATTTGCCAATGAATTTAAAGTGAGAAGAATCAAGTTAGGTATGCCTTTGATAACTGTGATGGGTCAAGCAACTTAATTCTCAAATCCTTACTCTATTTACTGGGAAATATTTTATACTCTGCTTGAAAGCCAAAGACACTTCCCATTCTCTATCTCTCCTGTGCATTTAACTTAGTTAAATTGGGAAAACTAAAACACATCAAAATTCTTTAACTCCTTGTAAATTCTCAACAGGATAAAAGCATGGATTTTTTTAAGTTTTAAAACTTAGCCTACCTCAAGGGTAGCTTTCAAGTATCTTCTTTATTTAATATTTTATTTGATATTTTGGGTACTTCATTCACATAATTTGAAGTGATGAGAAAGTGTAAATGGCATTACACCATCTGCTTGCCTTTCTTCTTCACCAGTGGTAGTTTCTTGGGTATCTTTCTAGAGATACCTTATACATCCATAAGCAAGTGCATATATTCTTTCATACAGACATATTTTGGAGAGCTTAGAGTTTTTCCAGAGTTGACTTGTGTGTGTGTATGAAACTGTTAACTAACCCCCTTATGAATATAAATACACTAGTTTATTTAGCTAGGTCTCTTACATGGTTTTAATCTCTTAGTAATGAAAACAACACCACAGTTAGAACTCTATAAATTCATTTTTGCATCTATATAAACACAAAAAACAGAAAATGCTGGCACCAAATTATTGATTAAACACTAATGTAGGTTGATAGGTGTCAGACTCATCTCTGTAAAACTTTATCATCACAACTATCTCTTCTGTCTCCAGCAGAGGCAAATGACCAGACAGTAAAATAAGTAAACACTTGTCGAAAGATCAGTATGCTCTTTATCTTTGGGACCTTTGAGAAGATAAAGGGGCATGACAGTGTAGTGTTAGCTAACATGTTAAACTTCATTTTACATTATTGTTATTCATTATTGTTTGGTAATCATCTGCATTTTCTTTTCTGTGAATTGTCTATTCCATGCCACTGCTCTTTTTCTATTGAAAAGTGTTTTTAGAATAGAATAACTATAGCAACTAATTGTGGCTCAGATTCATAAAAGAATGTATTTTTTAATGGGTTGAAATGATAGTTCAAACCTCTGAACTGGTGGAATGAGCCATAGGTAATTTATAATGACATTTATTGATGCGCATCATATGCACTCATATTACACATAAAGGTATATAGCCCTAGGCCCTGAAATAATATGTACTGAATACATGTAATAAACAGCAGGAGACATCATTATCATACTTATTTTTGGTTCTGCTAATATTGCTTTGGATGTTTAAAATTATATGTTGATGGCTTATTTTACCTTATATTCTAGAAATGTTTGGGGTAATTGATAAGGACCTTTTGCTGGGCGATAGATGTCTTACCAAATAATGCAGTAAATGTGTTTGGAGTTATGCATAAAATGTGGAACCGTAGCCAGCCTTTTTGAATGAAGTGTTTTTAGGCAAAGTAAGCCTCAATCTTAGTTTTATTTGGTGTAACAATATATTGTTGCAAGTTTTATTCATACATAAAAATATGTTTGATCTATCACTGTACATTTTGTGCTCTATAACTGATGGGTCAAATATTTTGAGCAAGTATCATATTTGATAATCATGATAAAAAGACAAAGAATTTCTAAGTTCATTATCAAGTGTTATGACATGCACATGGCATCTGTTCACGCTACCATTATCTTTACATATGAGTCCTTTGGACTTTAAGAGAAAAATTAATTTATTAACTGGAGGAATGCTAAACCTCAATAATTCTAAATTGTAAAACTACAGAATTTTTAAAGAGTAATTCACCAAGATTCAGCGTGCGTCCTAAATGGACCCACACTGGTCTTCCCAGTGAAGCAGAAGCTAAGGCTGCCTCTCACCCTTCCGCAGGATACACCCAGACAAACGTGGGTGAAGCTTTGGCTGCTGTGCATGGCTCTGAATTCAGTCAAACAACCATCTGCCGATTTGAAAACCTGCAGCTCAGTTTCAAAAATGCATGTAAACTGAAAGCAATACTATCCAAGTGGCTGGAGGAAGCCGAGCAAGTTGGAGGTAGGGGAGTGGGGTGGGGTGGGGGGTGGGGGGATGGGGGGAGGCAAGGGTGGGGGGGTCACAGGGGTCGGGGTGGGCAATCCTGTGCAGCCTGTGTTGTGATGTAGTCACAAAACGACCACTAGGGGCAGCAAGATGTTTGCTGAAGCAGGAGGTTTGAGGGCTTTTTAAATCTCTTTGAAACGGAAAATAAATATCTTGGTGAATAAGGGAGGGCGGGAGACCAATGTAATGCAAGTGTAGAAATAAATTTACCGAGGATAGCAGGAGCTGCGCCGGAAAGCTTTCCAGAAAACAAAGCATCAGCATCAAGTACTGAATATTCTTTAGCATCCACATTTCTTGGTCTTTTATGCTATCCTGGAGTAACTTACAGGAACTACTTTTAGAACCTGATATTAGTATTCACACCAGTCTGTAAATCAAATACCATCGAAAAAATCAAAACTTGGTATTTTAACTAACACACACACACACACACACACACACACACACATTGAAATTAAGACTTGGAAGCATTTACAAGGAATATTCTAACAAAAATTGAACGTAGAGTTTGTAAAAATCATCTTTATGAGATTTACATTTATTTTGTTTTAATTCTTTTTTTTTATCGAATGCACTATAAAATGGCGTGGCTTACCAACATTTAAGACAGAAATGGGTAGCAGTTACAGTTTGCATTATTTTATATGGAAAAATTGAAAGCCAAGAGTGCTAGTCTAAAATGACTTTCTCTTTTTATTCTCTTTCCTATGTTCCAGCTTTGTACAGTGAAAAGGTGGGAGCGAACGAGAGGAAACGGAAGCGGAGAACAACTATCAGGTATTCCTTCAAGATAACACATTTACTAGAAAAACATGGTATTCACGTGGAGTCAACATGGACGTGTAGTGTAAGAACAACATAACCCGTGAGGTGAATAGAAGTAACTGAAGAAACAAAAATGTTTTAAATGGATGAGAAATGAAGTTAGCATTTTTCAACATTTGATGGATAAGTACGTATTGTTTGATTGACTGTTTGGACACAGACATTTTGGCTAAAAATGGGAAGTAAACAATTCACGGATGTCCTTGTAGATACAAGTTCTTGCTCTGCTAATGCAATATCTTAACTAACAGTAACAAAAGGAGTCACCAGTGTGTCAGACTAGGGTCTGTCCTGACCCCTTTCATGACAACCATGAAGTATAATTTAGTGATACTTTCGCTTCTGTGAGGTACTAACAGGAAATAGCAAAAGGCTTTATCTCGGGCAGTTGTGGATTACACCTTTCCTGTATTATAAATGATGGGGATGACCGGGCCATGATGAGTAGGGCAGGGAGGAGTTGTCCTTTGAAAGGCCCACAATTCCTTTTCTTTGTCAAGAACCTGGTGCCCCCTTGTGGCATACAGTGAGAGAACCTGGGTTCCCTACTTTTTGCCTTTGATTTTTGGTAAGGTTATCTGGAATAAGACGTGCCTCTGTGGAAAAAAGTCAGATTTGTCTTTCACGAGGTTTTTTTTTTGTTTGTTTGTTTTTTAAGAACCTATAAGTTATTCCTTTGTGGTAATATTTAGAAAGATAAGCTTTATTTTAATTTTTCCAAAAACTTCATTGAAAGACACATAATTTCATCCCCAACTCTATCCTCCCTCCACTCCCCACCCCCAACTCTCCACCCCCAGTATTGCAGCTAAGGATGCTTTGGAGAGGCACTTTGGGCAGCAGAACAAGCCTTCCTCTCAGGAGATCATGCGGATGGCTGAAGAACTGAATCTCGAGAAAGAAGTCGTAAGAGTTTGGTTTTGCAACCGAAGGCAGCGAGAAAAACGGGTGAAAACCAGTCTGAACCAAAGTCTCTTCTCTATTTCGAAGGAGCATCTTGAGTGCCGATAAGACGTGTGTGTGTGTGTGTGTGTGTGTGTGTGCGCGCGCACGCGCGTGCGCGCGCGTTAGCCATTTGTGTAGCAGTTTTCGAGCAAAATCAGGAATTACTCACCTGGTTAGCTTCAAGAACTAGATTAAACCACTAACTTCTACAGTCTTTTAAAGACCCATTGACTTAAACTGAGATATTTAATTGTTCTAAGACTTCAGTGTTCATTTTAATCCTAAAACTATAACAGCTGGGAAACTCTCACCCCAATACCTTGTCCATCCTGTCTCTGCCCTGAACACACACAGAGCCTGGGTGGGGGTGAAAGCAGTGTATATGTGAATCTTAGTTTTAGTTTAAAATTTCCTTTCTAGGCCAATTTATTTTGTTTTTAATTTTTTAGCAAATAAGGACAGATATTTACAGATTATTAACCATGGAAAGTCCAAGCTGAGAATGTACTGATGTGCCTGGAGAGCTGGCTCGGTGGTGAAGGGCATTTGTGTCTCTCCCAGAGAACCTGGGTTTGATACCCAGCACCCACATGGCTCACAATTGTCTGTAACACCATTTCCAGGGGGAGTCCAATGACTCTTCTAGCCTCCATGGGCACCAGGCATGCACGTGGTGCACAAATGTACATGTAGGCAAAAAAACTCATACACATAGAATAAAAATAAATAAATCTAAAAATGAAAAAGTATTTCGGTTTATATTTGGCATGCCACTAGCCCTAAAGATTTTTTGAGTAAGGTTTGAAGAGCCAGAGGCTACTAAGGATTTTACCATTGCCTTCAGAAATAATCTTCACTCAGATTCTATTGATGTCTTTGAAGTTAACATTTAGAACTGGTTCTTAAACAAATGGTTTTTTGGGTTTTTTTTTTTTTTTGAAGATTTATAGGAACATTTAGGCATGATGTCTGTATTCTTTCATAAACATTAGCTTTCTGCTGTTCTGCTACGGAAAACAAGTTTCGAGCTTCTGCTCAGTGGTAGAGAAATCCCTAGTATGTTTCAGAGACTGCGTTCAATCCTGAGCACAACTGAAATAGAAAAACCAAAAATATACTTTAGGGATTCCTGACCTCTGTCACTAATCTATGTGTCTGTAGGCTGTAACAGGGCTGTAGGCTGTTATTTCTCCAGTGACTAGAAAAGTGCTTGCTTATAGTAGGTATCTACAAACTGGGCCAAAGGGATGGGCATTATAGTGGACAACTGGTACAAACAGGAAGGGTGCCAGCCAACTTGAAAAATTTGAGTTTTGAAGTCTTGGTGTAGAAACTCACTTGCGGTCCTCTAACAATGTGTCAATTTTGGTCTGAATGGTTACATGATTTCTTATTAATAAAAGTTGGAAACATTGACTTTTCAGTTCTCAGGATTATAATGAAGATATTTATTGAATCTGAAAATGAACTCTGAAACTTGTAAGTAGAAGCAATCTATAATGTGATGTAAATCTGGAACAGCAACTTTGGCGTTTTGAATGTCAGTCTGCTGGCAATATTCATCTAACCTATTCTGCATAACACAAGCTGAAATTAGAAGAGGATTTAATAGTTAAGTACACTAACTAAATTATATCATCCAGTGTCACATAAAATTTTTAATTTTATTTTTTAATTAAATTTATTCATTTATTTTACATCCTAGCCACCGTTTCCCCTCTCGTCTCCTCTCATTCCCTCCCCCCACAGTACTAAAGCAGGGCCTGGTGACAGCCAGTTTACTGTCATCTCAGCCACTATTAAGGTCATCATGGAGCACAAATTCAAAGTCGGCCTGGTTACAGAGTGAACCTGACTCAGTAAGACTATATCTGAAAATAAAAGAAGAGGGCCAGGAGCATAACCTAAGTCTAGTACATACAGATACTTTCCAAACAAATTATCCAAACTGAGGCACAGATATACCATCTCATCTGTGTTGGATGCATCTCAAGAATTCCAAATGATTGTCTTGCAGATGTAAGTTTCTCTGGATAATTATTATTTTTTAAAACTGCTTAAAACACACATTAGTATCATTGCATAGACGTGTGCACACATATATTTGCAAAATCTCACACTACACTTTGAAACCTTAAATAGAAACAAAATTCAATGCAATATAAATGTAGACCAGTTGCCATTTTATATTTTAAATATGGATCGGATGGTAATATTTAATATGACAAAGGTGTATGATTAGAACATAACTATGTGTTTATAATGTCATTTTTTCAAGTTTAGACACCATAAGCAGACTCATTTACATCAATTTATTTTGAGACTATTTTCTAGTCATATTTAATATTCTATTAGATTTTAATCTTTAAAACAGAGAGTCCTGTCGTATGGAGTCCTAAATTGTTATTAAGGAAATGACGAATACAATTTACTGATCAGATTCTGAGGAAGAAATATCAAAGGCTGACTTCATCTACACAGACTTTCTATTCTATGTCCTGTGGGGTGCACAGTGTATGCCTCTAGGAATCCAGCAGGAAATCATTACAATGGAAGGATCGGTTCATCGCTTATACCAATACTAAACAGTACCTAACAGAAATGGCTGAGAAACACACTCATACAATGTACCTTCTATCTCTAATGGTGGAAAGGATTTTTTTTTTTTTAAGTATTTTCAGAGTTTGGGGATGGGAAAGTGTGTGCCTTCAAGGTCTGAAGCATAAGAGAGGATTTGTGTTGGTACTTCTTTTAAAGGAATTTAAAGAATCATTTTACTCGGCTTCTACAAAGACAAAATTGGAAAATTCAGCTATTTCTGCTGCCGAGAAACCTTTTTGTAAAAAGGAGAAAATTATAGATCTCTTTTCAGACCTGGACAAATTTGCTAAACTTAAATCGGAGTAATTTTAACTTAAGTACATAGAAATCAGGCCAGAAATGTAGAAATTGGGCTTGAGGGGAGCATGTATCTGACCAACGGAAGGTTGTTTCTATGGACATTCAAAGGGGAATAAAATATAAATGACTGTGAAAAGTCAAGTAGCATAATGCCACAGACAGCTGGACTCTTCCCTCTGGTTCATATAATTTAGTTTTGAGCTGCTTTAACCCAGGCCCTGCCCACCAGGCACTCCCTTCAAGCATCAACTAACTGCACTCTGTGTAATATAACCTGCCTGCCACGTGGTCATTTTATGCTTCCTAACACCAAGTGTCATCATTTGTAATGGTGTGTTGTTGGGAGGCCCTGCTGGTCAGAGGTCGCAGTCTACCATGTCCTGGCAGCTTTCTCCAAGCTCAGCAACATGAAGGACACCCTCCCCAGTAAGGTTTCCTGTTTTCTACCTGCCCTTATTTGGAGGATGTCTCTAGGCCTGGACGCCCGACTTATCTCTAGCGTGATCCTTGGCATAGTTCCCTGCTAGAAGCTTTCCCCACTGCTGCCCATATCCTTGAGTTGAGTGTCTCGCTGAAGTCATCTCCCGGAGGCTTCTTCATTGTATCCACAGCCATCCGAACCCTGTTCCCTGCTTCTGCTCCCTCCACTCCTGTGGACCAGTGGCCAACGATCCCCAAGGAAGGAGAACCACAGCATGTCCATACTACATGGCATTCCTCTGGTACTCTGAAGTTTCCTCCATCCATGACCCAGGATGGACCCCTTTTCGAAGCAGAGACACTGCTATATTACTCTGTTCCTTTTCCACTGGTAAGCCCATGCTAAACAAATCCTACTACGAAACAAAGCAAAGATTTTAAAAAATGATTTCTGGTTTGTTCAAACAATAAAAATCACCATTTCTAAAGTCAACTCTTACTTTCAGTAAAGGAGAACGAAGTTACTGACAGATTTACTATGATAGTAATGTGCCCCCCAAAACATTTATTAATGCAGTCAAGTCAGAATAATTTCACTATCAATTATGGGTCCAAAGGTCTCTGTATCCGTATTCGACAAAATAGAAGTAAGTATTTGATACTTGTACATCTGTAAATATAACTCTGAAGTGTTTAGGTCTTGGAAACTGCAGGAAAGGAACGATCAGGTCCATTTCATTGGAAACTACTAGTTGTTGGGCCTGCCCCATTGGCAAACACCAATCCTGTTACAACTTTCAGTTCTTAAAAAAGGCATTTTCTGTGATTTTATAAAATTTAAGTAGTACAGCTACCTAATCTTCCTTATAGAAAAATAGCAAAAATTATTCTGTTTAAACTACTACATATATGCAAAATTTCTAGTCTTAACAGCAATAAAAAACAAAGTAAAAGAGTTAAGAAAAAATGGATAAGAGCAATAAACCTTTATTGAGTTTTTTTTTCCCAGGCAAAATAATCTTAAAACTCAAAGCTCCCACATGTAAACAAGAAAGTAAATTAGGTTAGACAGCATTACTATGTACATCCAAAACATGTTTGGGTGCAATACCCGATGATACAGTACGATGATGTCTGGACTCATTCCCGCTAAGGGATACCGTGAATTGTGCACTTCAGACCGTTAGGACTGAGGCCTACTCTCTGATGGTTGTGGGTTCTGAAGCAGAGGGCGGAGCTTCTACCCCTTGTACATATCTGTGCCAAGGATAAAGTTGCAGTATGTATCTGCCTTTGTTATCCAACAGTCCAAAGGTCCATCCCTAGGGATTCGCCAGCTTACGCTGATTGGAGTTCCTACGGTTTCTGTGTTGGGATGTGTCAGAATCCAAATATTACAACATCATTCTTCAAAACAACCTAATTCTACTTCTACTTCTAACTCTGTGGCATCCTTCCCTTTCTCCTGCTCTCTACATCACATAGCTAACTTACTTTTGAAAGTACTGCTAAAACAATGATGCACTTTAGGCAGTAATTTCTGACAAAGTTGCAGTTTATTTACCAAAAACAAAACAAAACAAAAATGTTTTTACTTTAGAAATCTAAGTCAAGTATCGTCATAGTAGTAGTACTTCATTTAGAAGAATGGCTTCAATGTAGAGGGTTTAGTGTGTATATTAATACAATTCAAAATTCAACACAGACTAAGTTATAATTTATATGGAGAAAGTCTCAGTTCTTGGAAGAAAGACCAAAGTGTGGTTTCATTACTATAAAATGTTATTAATTCAGTGTCTTCTTTCTTCATTTTGCTAATTATATCCACTTCGCTTTTATAAGCTTTATAAGACAGCTTGAGTAACTGTTCTAAGTCTCAACTTTATTTTAAAATGTAATTCTTTTTTTTGCCAGTTAAAATAATTTAAAGATGTGCACAATATGTTTGTGCTATTTAAGGCAGGTGCCAAGCACATTTTGAAAGGTAATAAACTTACCAACTAGAATGTTCTCCCAAAGGGGGAAAAATGGAAGAAAAGTAAAAGCTCATGATGGTTTTTAAGACAGATGTTTAAATAGCACTCTTCTTTAGATGGTTTAAAAATAAGTTGGCAGCTGCACCGCCTGTGGTCTTAACATAACTGTCTACAAAGGACAAGCAACAGATACAGAATTAACGATATACCTTTAATATTTTTACAAGTCTCTTTAAGTTGGCGCCTACTGGCGTTGAAAAGAACTCTGGTTTCGGTGTAAAAGATTTAGTACACACCCCGACACTAAGTAATGACACCGCTTCTCTAGGCCATGCAGAAAAGAACTCAGTTTGCACACATCATCAGACCTTAGTGGCTCTAGTCAACCCAACTGCTCCCATTTTTTCATCACTGGCATTCTTTGGCAAAAGATTCAAAATAGCCATGGGTCAGGACACAACTGTTCACTCATGGTCTTCATTGTAGCAAAATGACTATGTATTGTAAAGGGAATCGACACCGGACCCACTTTAGATCAAATAATTGTAAGAAAGTGAAAGCAGTATGGCTTCTTGATCTAATCCACCCCTAGAGCTTTGAGTTGCCGTTCAATCTCTTCATCGGAGATTGTAGCCTTTGAAGTGGAGGCAGATGGTAAGCTTCTAGCAGCTGACGGAGCTTTGGCCATCTATATCCCAAACAAAATGAGAGAAAAAAAGTCAGCAAGCATCTGAATGAGGACAGAGGACGCACTTTCTGCTGACACACACCAAAAACATGCAGGTAGCATTAATGGGCCAAACAAAGCAACTGACCACAGTGGCAACAGCCGTTCTCATTATGAAAAGAAGCTGTTCTCACCTTTCCAGAGATTTCAATTCCAATTTCGTCAAGAACTTGATTCACAATGTCCTGGCTTTCTTCTTCATCATCAGAACCGTCAAAGATGTCATCAAGGGTGTCATTGACTAGGAGGGAAAAGAAAGGGGAACCAAGCGATTATTTTCAAATGTGGTACAAGTTTAATTTATATTTGTGAGCTACAACCAATATATACATATTTTTGATGATGAAAAAGCAAATTTAGTGGGACCAACAAACTATAGAACTTTGTTAATCCATTATACTGATAAATACCTTTCTGAGCCAATACATTAGGTACAATGCCATTTTTAACACGCAATCCCGTAATAAACAAACCTTAGCAATACTGTGATCACTGCACAGGGCCCTGAGTTCGAGCTCCAGCACCAGAAAAAAAAAAAAAAAAAAGGATAACGTGACTTATAAAACTAGGTCTTGAATAAACAAAACCCATGTGACAGTTACAGCTCCAGGCTCATTGCGTTTAAATATGATTCCACAAATGGTATCCACTGAGCTGTTAGACCTAGCCAAGAAAAAATTTGTAAGAATCAAGGTGTTTGCTAATATCTATGAGATAATTATCTATCCATCTTCTACCCACTTATAATATTTGCATTATTTCTTATGTTAACATTCAAGATATACGTAGAATATTTTAATAAAATGTATGGTTGAATATTCTATTAAATTTGTCCTAAGAATAATAATCAATTTTGCCCTGTAAGTTTATTAATGCTATCACCATCTTTCCTTCCTTTCCTACTCAAAATGTACATTGAAAGATTCTTGAGTACAGGGCATCACGTTAAGTGATAGAGGGTATTTTTGGTTTTGGGAAAAGCTGGGATTACATATTTATTTTGAATATGGGTACACATGAGTCTGCCATGCAGCACACACACAATGGAAGAACAGGTGATAAATGAAGACTTCTGTTTCATTCTCAAATGGAAAACAAAAAGCAATAGATTGTATATGGAATAAACATTCAATAACTTAAGCAAAAAGAGAGCACGTCCCACCGGAAGCCACCTGTAAGACAGACCTGGAGGAAGGAACAAGATCCGACCCAACGGAGATACACACAGAAGCAACAGGGACAACACAAGGAAGAGAAATCTCTTCTGCTTGCTTGGTCATCAAAGGTGGGATTTTGAAAAGGACAATAAAGGGGTGTGTGTGTGTGGTGGGGACTGACCTACCACAGGAATAACCCAAAATATTCAGAGAAAATGAAAGGGAAAACAAGACAGGTAACCTACTTTGATCTCCTGGTAATCAAACTGGCAAGTGGACTTCCGGTTACAGACTGAGCATCTGTTAGTGAGACGGTATCTACAGGGAGTTCTTAGCATATCCTAGCTTACTATTGCAACAGCTCACAACCTACATCATGAGCTTATGAGCTATGGCTCCCAGGGGATATTACATGAAGTAGTGGAGCATCTGGGGAATGACCACAGCACAAACATTTTCAACCTTAATGTGCTGTGGGATGTTCTGTATGTCAAATGTGTTTCTCTGATTGGTTAGTGAATAAAACACTGATTGGCCAATAGATAGGCAGGAAGTATAGGCGGGACAAGCAGAGAGGAAAATTCTGGGAAGTAGAAGGCAGGGGGAGAGAATGCAGGCACCGCCAGGACAAGGAAGATGTAAGGTACCAGTAAGCCATGAGCCACGTGCCAAAGTATAGATTAATAGAAATGGGCTGAATATAAGAGTAAGAGCTAGACAATGATAGGCCTGAGCTAATGGCCAAGCAGTTTAAATAATATAAGCGTCTGTATGTTTATTTTATAAGTGGGCTAAGGGGCTGCCGGGGATTGGCAGGACCCGGAGAGAAAACTCCAGCTACATTAATGTTCCTTTCAACAGAAGATGGCAAGCAATGTTATGAGACGTCTCATGTAATATCTGAAATCACAGGTCTTAAATCCAACACTGGAAGAAAAGTTAGACTTATCTGTGATCTCAGTGCAGATTAGCTTTTGGTGGCCCTGATATTAATAACAAAGCTTGATGTTGATTATAATAGTGAAAATTTGGCTTGTTAAAGTAAAAAGTAAATTTAGAAAGGGCTAAAAAGCTTATGACAAACATGGAATATCATAGAATATTATTTCCAAGCATACATTAAGACATAAATTAGATTCAAATTAAGATCTCATTTCTTGTATTTAGTACTAAGCAGCTTTGAGAGCAAATCATTTTGCCTTTCTGTGGCTCCGAATTCATACTGGCCTATCACATCGTTCCTAAAAAAAGTGCTTTATTTTTTGTATATGCTTTTCTTGTATTTGTTTTGGTTACTCTGTGGTAAGCAAGAACCCATTGCAAGAATCTGGTCAGGATGCTCCAGAAGTAAGCTTTTAGAGTATTACTTCAGCAGCATGTAACCTGAATAGTAATGGCAGCAAGGCAGGTGAGAAGCCAGGTCTAGGAAGGTCTAAATCAGTGGTTCTCAACCCCTTTGGGGGGGTCAAGGGACTCTTTCAAAGGGTTGAAAGACCCTTTCACAGGGGTTACATATCAGATATTTACATTACAATTCATAACAGTAGCAAAATTAGAATTATGAAGTAGCAACAAAATAATTGTATGGATGGGGGTCAGCACAATATGAGGAACTGTATTAAAGGGTCGCAGGATTAGGAAGGTTGAGAACCACTGGTCTAAATGAAGAAGTTCCACAGAAGAGGTGAAGAGGGACAGAATATGAACGAGCACTGCAGAAGCACAATCAGAAGACAGCAGACACGTGCCAAAGATGTAAACACTTGCCACATTCCCAAAGCTTGAATGTGGACAAGTTTGAGCACTGTAGCATGAGCTTGTGGTAGTAACCCACCTACATGATTTGACTTAAGGCCCACTTCACGAGATGGACCCATATTCCAGTCTCTTGGGTGACCAAGGACCGGAGACAAAATAGCCCAGGGAATTAGGATAAAACCAAATACTAGTGTTACACTAAAAAAAAAAAAAAAAAAAAAAAAAAAAAGTAGCAATACAATGACTCCTAGTGACCTTCTGCTATATAGATAAGAGCCTTGCTCAGCCATCATCAGAGAACCTTCCTCCTGTAGCAGATGGGAACAAATAGACTCACAGCAAGACAGTATGTAGGGTGAGAGAATTTGGGGCACCCAGCGGTAAATGGGATGTCTCCATCAAATCCCTCCTCTCAGGGCTTAGGGATCCCTGCAGAAGAGGAGGTGGAGGGTTTGATGGTTTGTTTGTTTGTTTTTCAAAGGCATGAAATAGAAAGTCAACAACTCTGAACTATCAGTGAAGACAGTCACAGTATAATCATCACCAAGAAGAAAAGGAGACACTCTAATACAGAACAGGAGACTATTAGCTAGTGTGCTAATGTAGCAAGTTTAAAAGGTGCTGTTTGCTGCTACATTAGATGACCGAACTAAAACGCTAGCAAGTGAGTGGAGCTAAACCAGCAGAGACCCACACAGACCCACCCAGAAAATGATAGCACGGTGCAAAATACTGACACACAAATGTTTCACTATTGACCAGTGTGTGTTGAAGGGCCACTCAGTCATTATTAGTAAAATAAACAGTGGGGCCATTTTGTTGGGAAGAAGTTTGGGGTCTCATAAACAAATCCTAGTTTATAATCTCAGGAGATTTAAAGAATCAACAAAGTAAAACATACTCAGTTTTAAAGAAAGCTTGTCAATAAACTGAAAATTTGGAACAACCCTGTTGATGAAAATAAAGAATTTAATAAAGATGTATTGATGATAATAAGTGATATACTAAAACGATTTTTATTTTTATTTTATTCGGTGCTAGGAAACAAACCAGGGCCTTAAGCGTGTTAGGCAACCACTGTGTAACTCAGCCCCATCCTCAGCCCGACACTAACACTATTTTCCAGAGAGAGTGCCTGTCTGTGTTATACTGTCATGACTCTGAAAATGAAGAAGGCGTTCATGGCTGCATGTGCTCTCACTTCTACAAATCCAGGAAAACACAGGGCAGAAATGTGCTACAGCCTCAGTAACAAGAGTTGGGTGGAGGCCACTTCCTCTTAGTCACTGTTTTGTTTTTTTTCACACTATATTTGCAATCTAAAACTTAATGATATTTTGTGACATAAAGCACAAGCAGGAACTCCATGCCTCTCCTCTCACAGGGCAGGTCTCCAGTGTGACAACCACATTGAGACTGTGAAAACTACTATTTTATACTACCCAGGAAAATTAAAAACTGGTAAGGCCATTCACTGATGAAATTATGGCCCAGTATTTTTTTTTAACTGAAAACACATTTTTTTCATACAATATAGTCTATTTATGGTTTCTCCTCCCTCATCCCTCCCAGATCCTTCCCACCTCCCTAGACCTACCCAACTCCATTCTGTCTTTCTCTCCCTTTAGAAAACAAACAAGCCAATTAACAACAAGCAAACAAACAAACAAAAATAAGTCAGAATAGAACAGAATTGGAAACTATTTTATATATAAGCAAGAGATTAGTAAGGTAAAAAATGCCCAGACAAAGCAGTATGAGACAAAACCCCTGCAAAATCAGCACTGAGTTCGTTTTGAGTTGACCTTGCACTGCTGGGCTTGGGGCCTGCCTCTAAGTGCAGTTGTTCGAGGCAGAGACTTCACTGGAGAAAGGTAATTTTTCCTTTGCAGGTAGTTGTCAATTAGATATCTTCTTGGTTGAGCAGGGGAGATCATGTCCACTTTCCCTTCTTAGTACTGGGACCCCACAGCTTGGGCCTGTGGAAGCTCTTGCATGCTGCCATGTCTCTGTGTGTTCACAGGCAGAGCATATTTATACCGCCCCCACCACACACACTTCAGTTAAAACACTGAAGGAATATTGAGTCAGTACACAGATGTTTATCATGCTGGTGCCACTTCTGGTTTCACTACCTATGAGCATGGGACTGCTGGGACACGGACTTGGTTAACTAGGGGAGGAGAACACTACACGTTTCTTAAACTTACTCATTTCTTCAGTCATTTCCATTTTCATGTTTTCCTTCTGGAAATTCTGCATCGTTTGTAGTGTCTTCTGTGGATCCATCTTCTTGTTGACTGCTTGCATTGTCTTTAAGAAATGAAAAGAGTCATGGCAGCTACGTAATTAGGAAAGCCATCTATGGAGTAAGTCTTCAGGCAGCCACATCAAAAACAGTCTTCTGACTGAGCCAGGGTTAAGTCAAATTCAAACACTTGTCTGTGGAAGCTAACACCTGAAATCCATTGAACAAGATAGACTCTTCCCCCACTACAGCTCTGTCAGCACACTGATCTTTATCTCCTGAAAGGTGTGTACTCGCCCCTGGCACAGGACTGTCGCACACACTCGACCCTCATGAGTGCTCCTCTCTGCTCTAAGCACTCTGCATGCACTAATCTTAAGTCAAGTGACATTTGAAACACAAGAACTTCAGGCAGTACTTCCTTGCCTTCCCCCATTACAAATGGCCAGCAGAGGCAGAGGTGGCTCAGTAATTTGCATAAGGTCACACTATTCTGTGAAATGTCACCTGAGTGTGAGCAAAGTTTTAGAGTCCTGCAGACACTATCTCCTTAACTGCCTCTTACAGAGGCGACAGGCTCCGTGCAGGCTAAGTCCTGGCTTAGCCATTTCATCTGAACTGCTTGAGTACTTGAACAAACACTTGCTGACCAAAGAATATGTTCTGAAGACAGTTAATTAGAAATTCCAATTCAGATACCCATACATGGCAAAAGCATATTAGGTATCACTTCTGAGTCTATCATTTACAGAAAACTACAGGGTAATTGTTCCCCTCAACACTGGTACAAAGTTCCCAGTGTAGCTATGTGATCATCATATGACCAAATTACTCAGACTTTTAGTTCTGGCCACTGTAAGACTACAGAGGAGATCAAAATTACTTGCTTTTGTGTATTTTGAATCAGTGACAGGAAAGATCAGAGTCCTTGAAACCAACAGTTAAAGTACTGATCACACACACACACACACACACACACACACACACACGAGTGTATGAATGTGTATATATAAAAACACACATATAATTAAATGTAAGTTCCTGAAATGCAGAAGTTTCCATTTACAGTATTCATGTGTGGTTCTGAACATTTACAAAAGTGAATCAAGAAGAAATTATTACTCAAAAAGTAGTCAGAAATTATAATAAAAAAGAAACCCCCAAATTTTTTGACAAGAACTTTGAAGCTTCAAGTAATCTTTGGAAAATGTGAATGTCCTTACTTTTTTTTTTTCTTTTGGTTTTTTGAGACAGGGTTTCTCTGTGTAGTTTTGGTGCCTGTCCTGGATCTAGCTCTGTAGACCAGGCTGGCTTCGAACTCACAGAGACCCGCCTGCCTCTGCCTCCCAGTGCTGGGATTAAAGGTGTGTGTCACCCCCACCCGGCTAAATGTCCTTACTTTATAACATACTAATAACTAAGCTAGAATCAATTACTTGGATAATCCAGTATTATAACTCATCATACTAATAACTAAGATTTTTGTACCACAGATGTACCCGAAAGTGCTTTGAAATCTAATTTGAATATCAATACTTATATATCCCTGATAAAAAGACACCAAAGCTCCCAATTACCTTTGCAGTGGTAGACATGGCACCGGCCATCTTCATCTGGGAATTCATCACTTTTGTTTGTGTGGACATAGACGTGACTTTTGAGCTTACAGCAAAAGTTCTTGTCTTCTGTTTTCGTAGATGGACAAGCTGCTTAGCTAAAACCCTGCAAGCGTCTTTATTACCTATCTTGGCCATCTTCTTAATTTCTAATTCCTAAGAAGACAAAGAAGACAAGGGAATACAATCAAGGAGTAGTTCCCAGTGATCAGCTTGATGAACATATCTAGTAGGCATAAAGTCATGGAGAGGAAGCATGCTTGAGAGGCTAAGTCACACGTTCACACTGTGACCCTCATTTGTGACCATAGAGCAAGCTTATTAAGCAGTACATACATAGTCCAGGAGAAAATGCCAAGTGAACATCCAAAAATAGGTAAGAAAAATAGTATGACAAAGAAAATACTGAGATAGTAAAGTTAGTAATACAGATAACTGCATTGAAACAAATTCTCCACCTTACATACCACTGAAAAAGCAACTTCTGGAATGTACAATAGCAAATCCAACTACATGCTACCTCAAGAAACCAATCTTAAATGTAAGCACAAAGGTGTCTTAAAAAGAAAATATATACTTACCAAAGTCTGCAAATCTGGAGTGGCTATACTAATATCAGATCAAATAAATCTAAGAACAAGAGATATTGCCAGAAGTAAAAAAAAAAATATCATCTCATAATGATAAAGGGACCAAAGCACAAAACTCTCAGGTCAATTCTAAGTGTGTACACACGTGTGAACTGTGCTTCACAATTGTTGATCACAACTGACGAGACTGAAAGGAGAAATAGTCAATTATAAAATGCACCTGAGTCAGGGATCTCCCCCCTTCTCTTAAACAGGCTGCTAGAGTCATTTCAACTACAGTTGTTCCCTCTTAACCGCGGCCATGTGTCAAGATCCCAACGATGCTTGAAACTGCAGACAGAGCCAAACCATTACTGTACTGTGATGTATATATATACACACACACATACACACACACACACACAAACTGCAGACAGAGCCAAACCATTACTGTACTGTGATGTATATATACACACACACATACACACACACACACACAAACTGCAGACAGAGCCAAACCATTACTGTACTGTGATGTATATATACACACACACATACACACACACACACACAAACTGCAGACAGAGCCAAACCATTACTGTACTGTGATGTATATATATACACACACACACACAGACACACACACACATATATATATACACACACATGTATATATCATAGTACAGTAATGGTTTGGCTCTGTCTGCAGTTTGTGTGTGTGTGTGTGTGTGTGTGTGTGTGTGTGTGTGATATCTTCTGCCTTCCCTTTAAGGAAAATAATGCACATTCTTTCCTCTGCTATATATATGTGAACTCTCAGCATCATCACTCTTAACAGTTTGGGACTGTTTTAAAGTAACATAAGGATTACTTGGCCGCAAGCACCACAGCAACTGATCTGATAACTAGTGATGCGGGTGGGCAGTGTGTACAGTGCGGACAAAGAAAGAGTGGATTCAGTTCTTGGGTGGGATAGAAGTGGGTAGTATGAGATAGCATCAAAACACTCAACAGTGTGCAACTTGTAGGTAACTAGGGGCCATAAAGTGGAGGCAGGGGCAATCTGGGAGGAGTCAGGGGGACAAATACAATCAAACCACATTGTATGAAATTCTCAAAGAGTTCATAAAAGTATATTATAAAAAAGGTTCCAAGACAGGAAATGAAGACATAAAGCCTTCCTTATTCATGATGCTATGATCCACTGATGTAGGACCCTCATGGCATGTACAAAAGGCTACAAGAATAAACGAACCGAGGAGGCTTGTAGGATCCAAGATACACATAAAAAACTTGGTACACCTTTAAGTATACCAGTCAAGAGAGATATATAAAAACACTCACGAACAGTAAGACTTATTGTTACAATGTTAATTCTTTCCAATAATTTACACATTTAATGTAACTCCAATCAAAATCTAGTCATTTCTGTAGAAGTGGCAGGTTTGTTCTACAGTGCCCCGGAAACATGAAATACCCTAAAGGATTCTGAGAAAAAGGAAACCTCCAGGTGAATGGTGAAGTCTTTTCTGACTTTAAGTCTACTATGAAATGACAGTAAGGACAGTAGCATGGCCCTGGGCTTGAGAAAAGTCCTATCAGTGCAGGACAGAGTCCAGGAAGAGCCGCACTTGGAGTCTGGCTCACTACCGGTAAGGCAAGGCAAGCTGCTACCCAGGTTACACATCTCCATGGACGCGAAGTGCGCCCCTCTAGCTAGCACCAGAGAATCCAGGCTCTCACAGCACCAATCTCAAGAAAAAAAAAAAATGCAATGGCTATTTTTTAAGGGTTCTAGAAGAAAACATAAGAGAAATTACTATTGCATTTTTCTAGGCAAAGATTTCTTATACATTAAAAGTTAACAGCCACAGGATAAAATTATAATTGTTTTCATCTTAATAACTAACTTTTGTTTATCAAAAGACATTTAGGAAAATGAAAGACAAGGTCAAGAACCTGCAGAGCACATCTGCAAAGTGAGATCTTACTGAGGCACTTGTACCCAAGCACAAACAACTATCGGTCAAAGAGTCAGGAAAGGTGGGAAGGGCAGGAGAGACGGCTCAGAGGCTACGAGCACTTGCTTGTGCTTGGTTCCCAGCGTCCGTGTGTGTGTGTGTGTGTGTATGCGTGTGTGTACAATCACAACTGTTATAATTTTACCTACAAAGTAATTCCACTCTCTTCTGACCTCACAGCAGAAGAGACCACACACACGTACACACACACACACAAATAAAAAATGAAACTTTACAAACTGGTTTGATGAAGGAACATGAGTAAAACTAGGCATTTTGGCAAAGAGTATCTATAAATGGGCGTGAGACTCATTAAAAGAGAAGCTCAGCATCACTAATGACAAACAAGGTACAATTCAGGGTCACCATCCACCTCCATAGAATGGTTCAAATGAAGGACTGCACTCCAGCTGCAATTCATCCATTGCCAGTGCAAAGAGAAAACAATGTACACTCTTTGCAAACTGTTTAGCACTACTTTCTTATATAAGGTAAAATATGTATCTCACTTCCAGTAATTAACTAGAAGAAATGAAAATGTACAAGAAATTCATTTGAATACATATAGAAACTTCAATTAATGAAAAAATCTGGAAAAAACCATTAGCACACTTGAGTAGCAAACAGATAAATTAGGAAACATGCATAAAACAGAACGATACCCATCATATATGTGGAGGCAATGATTAACCTCAAAGTTAACTGTGCTTAAAGAAACAAAAAGGAGTTCCTTGTGATTACATCTTTATACAATTTTAGAAACACAAATGAATATAGGGACACCTGCATTATTCTCACTGAATAAAGGGAGACAGTAAGGACGGACAGGAGGGATTTCATAAGGCAATAGAAGTTTTGGGGAACAATGCCTGTGTTTATTGCTTTCTCTTTCATCAGGGAATATACTTAAAGTATCAATGGTATACTCTAAATATGTACAACTTATTGCATGTATCTTATAGCTCAGTAAAGCTGCTTTAAGATCAGGGGCAACATGCATGTAAATATATAGCATAAAGAAAATTGTAAGATGAGCCATATCCATCTAATTAAAAATAAGCTGTCATGGAACAATCATCTTTAAAAGACCATGTAAGACACCTAGGTATTATTATTTATTACATGTTTTCTATGACTATTTTTTATTTTTAATGTCATCAAGAAGGTAGATCCATTTTAAGAAATATTTATTCCTAGACATTCATAATCTTCATGAAATGGAATAATTTGATTCTACATCAACAGAAAACAGAATTCTGATAAAAGCCAACAAATGACACAATATCAAAAGCAGAACACTCAGCAAGGGATGAAGTGTGGATGATTTCCTACAGGGGAATCACTTACCTCTTGTTCACTGCCTGGTTTGAGTTAGGTGATTATTCAACACTAATTTCCAAATGTATTTTAGAGTTTTCCTGAAATTCAGTGTTCTACTCACCAGCTGTTTTTCCTGTTTCTCTAAGGCTGCTCGATCTCTGATTATAGCCCTCTGTGTGCCCCGCAACTCTCGATTCTGTTCCTTTATTACATCTAGAACCACAAAAGAAACTTGAAGTTATAACTGTAAGAATTTCCTCAATACTGCTTAAAATACTGGACTAAGGGAATGTAACAAAGAAGGAAACTTTTACTAGATGCTAATTTTTTCTTTCAATTTAATATACTACAAACTAATCAAATATTAAAATATCTATTATAACCACAGATTATATAAAGAATAGAAAGATCTGTTCAAATATGCAGTGCTTAAAAATTTATCTTAGAGAATTATTATACAATTTCATATTGCACATGTAACAACCTCCTCCAACCCCAACACACACACAAACACACACACACACACACACACACGTAACCTTTATACCTCTCTATTCCAGCACTATATGGATTTCAGAAAAGAAAACACATTATATATTTTATTGAATCCTTTTTTGTATAGTTAAGTCTTATTGGTATGAAACAACAGATTTTCAACGAAGCAAATGCAGATTTTAACTACAACTTACAGAGTGAGAGACTTATAAAGACTTAGAGAACATTCTCAAGCTATACATATGACAGAGGATTGATATCCAGAATGCATATGGACCTCAGTAGCCAATTAACAAATAAAATTCTAGTTATAGGGGGATACATATATAAGACAGAAGTGGACTGTGAGTGAGGATGACTATTAAGGAAAAGGGGAGGGGCCAGTGAGGGTGTGAAGAACTCTCACACACTGCTGGTAGAAATGTAAATCAGTACAGACATCATCAAAAACAGAATTGAAACTTCAAAAAAATTAAAACTTTAGCTACCAAATGATTTAACAGTTCATTTCCAGTTATATAGCCAAAGTAAATGAAATCAGTGTAAGAGAGACATCTGCACTCACATTTTTAAAGCAATACTATTCACAATAGTCAAGAAATGGAAGTAACCTAAGTATCCATTACCTGATGATGTAGAAGGGAAATGTGGTATGCATTCCTAATGGAATATTATTTACATGAATAAAATTCTGTTATTTGTGACAACCTGGATGGAGCTGGAGTCCTTTGGAACTGACGATCACTAGGTAAAATAAGATGGGTACAGAAAGAAAAGTAGCGCCTGACTGCACTAATACGCAAAATCTAAGAGATACTTTCACAGATGCTGAGACTAGTACGGAGGTTTCCAAAGGCTGGGACTGAAGGAAGGCGGGAAGAGGTGGAGACTGCATTCTATTGTGATTTCAGTGGAAAAGTCCCCAAAGGCTCATAAGTTTAAAGAGTTGTCTCCAGCTAGTGGCACTATTTTAGGAGGTTTGAAATCTTTAAGAAATGGGTCTTGCCGGGTGGTGGTGGCGCACACCTTTAATCCCAGCACTCGGGAGGCAGAGGCAGGTGGATCTCTGTGAGTTCGAGGCCAGCCTGGTCTACAGAGCGAGTTCCAGGACAGGCACCAAAACTACACAGAGAAACCCTGTCTCGAAAAACCAAAAAAAAAAAAAAAAAAAAAAAAAAAAGAAAGAAAGAAAGAAAGAAAAGAAAGAAATGGGTCTGGCTAGAGCAGTGGTTCTCAACCTGTGGGTTGTAACCCCTTTGGGGGTTGCACAGATATCCTGCCTATCAGATACTTACATTAAAATTCATAAGAGTAGCAATATTACAGTTATGATGTAGCAATGAAATAATTTTATGGTTGGGGTCATCACAACATGAGGAACTGTATTAAAGGGTCTCAGTGTTAAGAAGGTTGAGACGCACTGGGCTAGAGGAAGAATGCTTAGGGGTCTTTTAGGTTATGGTGCAGCATGCTTCTGGTATGAGCTCAGTACTTCCTAACTACCAAAGGGATGTGACCAGCCACTGCACACCCCTGCTATTCCAGTGCCAAGGAACTCCTTCTGCATCCCTTTCCTGCCACACAAACAAACAGCCAAAATATTCCCTTTCTAAGCTGCTCCTTCCAGGTATTTGATGCTTTAACAATACAGTTCTAAGTTAGATTAGATGTGAGCAATAGTTTCGGTGGGCCACTATACTGCAGAGAGCAGTGGGGTAGTGCACATTTGAAAAAGCTAAAGGAAAGAAGTATGAAGGGTTTTACCATCTGAGTAGACAGACATATTTAACCAAACTTAAACATTACATAATGTATGTATGTATTGAAATGACATCTCATTTACGATGAATCAACAAGAATTTTAACAGGAAATCAAGAAGTTTATCTACTGATAGCTACAGTGGGAGGGATGGACACCAACCCCTCCCTAGAACTCAGCGGTGGAGGATTCTATCAACTGGACTATCAAGGCTCATCAGGGAGGAAAGCAAGCCAACGTTTTCCAACTGGGGACCACACTGTTGTGCTCCCAGGATGCTACAGTACCCAGGGCAGCTGTAGAAACGCTATGCTCTGTCTTCCACCTAAGAGTCTCTTCACGTCCCTCCCCCCATGTGATATTCTTCACAATAAAATGATCATAGGAAACAAGGAAGGCACTTCCCTGAGCTCGGAGAGCTGTCCCAAGAAACTATCAGCACGAAGGGCAAGCTGTAGACTATGTGGTCAGAAAGAGTCCGGACCTGGGCACATGACTGCATCTATAGAAGAGCAGTCTCTCAAGGAGTCCTTATACCACATGTGTGTTCTAAGGCTGGATAACCAGTGTCCACACTAAAATGTTGAGACAGACACTCACTTGCTGTCTAAGAATTAGAGACCAGGCTAGATAAGGACATCTTTGATTAAAAAAAAAATATTATAATGAAACCCAACAGTTTAATGAAAGATAATTCAATTTTACTTTAATTTTATGTAACTATGCATACATTAACTGACACTGTATATCATAAAAGGAAAAAATAAAGAAAATTAACTACTGCATATTCCACAGCCTTACAGTTGTTAATAGACCTATTAATATTTAAACAGTGCTAAGCTATAAACTCAGAGCATCTAATGTTACATACTAAAACATAATCATAACACTTTAAAACATATTATGGTAAGTAGGAAAAGACAGTAAAATGTCTTTTCATATGAGGCAACAGCAGCAGTCTATAAAACAAACAAATTACCCCGCCATTTTCTTATGTACTCCATATGTGAAACACACATTTAATGGTTTGGTCTGCTGGATAATTCAGAAGGAATAACATAAAAAGGTTGAGATATTTTTGATGTTTTAAAGGTCAACTTTATTTTTCACTTGATTTACTTCTTAGATTGGATTTCATTCTAAGACACAAGTTCTTTAAGAGTAGAAGATACATATAGTGAGAAAAAAAAATCCTGAGATGTCTAAGCTTAATTTCAGGGGTGAAAGATGAAAGAGGGAGAGATGGGGTAGATTAAGTATCAGCAGTAACGAAAACTGCTTCATATATGTGAATGCGTTAAAATTGTGTGTGTGTGTGTGTGTGTGTGTGTGCGCGCGCGCACGCACGTGCACATATGGAGGCAAAGTCAGCCTCGCTGGTTCTTTATGAGGCGCCATCCACCTTGTCATTTGAGCAGGGCTTCTCCCTCGCCTGGGGATCCCTGAAAGAGCTTCCCAGATAGGCAGGCTGGCCAGTGAACCCAGGAATCTCTCTGCCTGGTCTCCTCCTCTCCAGCACTGCCATTTCAAGCGTGGCCACCGGGTCTGGCTTTTATGTGGGTTCTCGGATCAACTTCCTTTCTTCACACACTTTACTCCACAGTCCTATGTGTTAAAACATGAAGTCCTATCATGAAGCTCTAGGCAGCATGTGTCCTGCTTGTGGCCCCAACCACTTCAAAGGTAACAATCACTTATTAGAGGATGTGCTATACCTGAACTTTGCCCAACTCAACACCACCCAATGCAGGGCTCATGTAAACAGTCATGCTTTCCTTCCTTAGATGTTTCAGTTCAAAATACAGCAGCTCTAGGCCTGTGAACAGGATCCAACTGCTTTCCAACTTTACAACAGGAAGTTGCAGAATCCTGTCTCAGGATGTGGCCCTCTTTGGCTAGCTCAATAGCCCTTTTATTTCAGAGATTCCTCGGGCTCAAGAGTTTTGGTTTCAGCACATATAGTGGTATGTTTATGTCTGTTCCATGTCAATATATTATATCTAGGAGGGATCTGATGATATTCAAAACTTATGATAAATAAAGGAAAATGTTATCAAGCATATTTAACTTATTACTTTAAGATATAATAAGATCTATTGTTATTGGGAAGGATGACTGAGCATTAAAATCTAAACTATGACTGATATCTTTGTACAGTGGCGACATGGATCATTGAAATAATGAGCCATCCCTGAATTTTGGGCTCCGAACAGTAGCTGCTCCTGTAAGCAATCTCTGTAAGGTTATATGCCCTCCCCTTGCCCTTGGCTTCCCTCTGCCTCTTTTCGAAGACTGTACCCCTAATCTTTCCTGTATCCTCATTTCTTTTTTTTTTAATTTTTTAAAAAAATTCTTTCTTTTATTTTAATTTTTTTTTGGGTTTTCGATACAGGGTTTCTGTAGCTTTGTGCCTTTCCTGGAACTCACTCTGTAGCCCAGGTTGGCCTTGAACTCATAGAGATCGGTCTGCCTCTGCCTGAGTGCTGGGATTAAAGGTGTGCACCACCACCGCCCGGCTGTATCCTCATTTCCAAAGAGAAAAACACCTACATGGTTATAAGATATGAAATTATCGTTCTTCAGAGTTCAGTAGACCCCAACACATGCAATAGCCTTCAGATAAAAAGGGACTGTAACCCTTCCTTATGCTCTAATACTATGTATCAGTTAATTTTAACCACAAGAAAAGCTGTATGTCTATTTAAACAAAATACCAGAGGTCACAGTTGCTTGTACCATTCCTGCTACAGATTCAAAAAGTCAAAGAGGAGACCCATACTCTGGTTGAAGACGAGCCTACTCAGCCTGCTGCTGATAATCTTCCCCTCTAAGACCCCTTTTAAATACTTCCATTCCCCAAGACTGAATTTGGCAACTATTAGCCTCTCCTTCTACCTTCTGGGGCCAGCTGAAATATCCTGATCCCTTGCTGACTCTCTCCTTCTGAGTACTGTCTTTT